ATCGCTGATCCACTGATCTGCGGCTATTGCGCAACTAGCGAAATAGCAGCGGATCAGTGTGGATGTGATCATCGCAGCTATTGACGGTTAGAAAACTGATGTGATGTGGTGTTGTAGGTTGAATTTAGTAACACGCATTGATTTCAGTCGAATTCGACTCCAATTGCACAGGGTGACGGTCAATTGGCCAAGAAGGGGGCGATTGGCCAATGCTGTGGCTCCGAGATAATGGTGATGGAGCAGCGTTCGATGCGTTTGGAGCGTGAATGTGACAGCTTGTTTTTCATGTTGAGGAATTTATTGCAGGTTAGTACGGGATTTATTATTATTTATTATTATTTATTATTAATGTTATTTATTATTATTATTTATTACTATACTTATTATTATTTATTATTATTTATTGTTATTAATTATTATTAATTATTATTATTATTAATTGCTATTTATTATTAATATTGTTATTGTTATTAATTATTATTTATTATTTTACCTATTGTTATTTATTATTATTTATTATTAATGTTATTNACTATTTTTAATTATTATTATTATTATTATTAATATTGTTACTGTTATTAATTATTATATTATTACTGTTATTTATTATTATACTTATTATTATTTATTATTGTTATTAATTATTATTTATTATTTTACCTATTGTTATTTATTATTATTTATTATTAATGTTATTTATTATTATTTATTATTATACTTATTACTATTTATTATTATTATTGTTATTAATTATTATAACATAATTAATGATGTAATAAAAATAAAAGCGATTGTTAAGTCAACGCACGTAGATGAAATCCTGAGACGGAAGCATGAAGAGGATTTGGAAAATGAACGAATTATGCTGGCGAACCGTCAGATTAGTGACTATGAAGCGAGGGTATTTTTATTTATTTTTATTATTATTGTACTTATTGTTAGTATTATTATTATTATTATATTTATATTATATTTATTATTGATATTATTTATTACTATTTATCATTACACTTATCATATTATTATTATTATTGTTATTTGTTATTATTGGTATTATTATTTATTATTATTAGTATTATTTATTATTGTACTTATTATATTAATTATTGTTAGTATTATTATTTATTATTGTTGTTATTTTATTATTATTTATTTATTGTTGGTGTTATTATTGGTATTATTATTTTATTGTTGTTTATTTATTATTGGTACTATTATTAATTTTTTCATGTTATTGAGGACAATATTATTTATATTATTGTTATTACCATTAATTTGTCACTGTTTTTTATTATTATTTTTATTTCCTTCGATTGGGATCATCCAATATATTTGCAGCAGATAGACGCGCTACGAGCTGTGGCTCAGAACGAGTCGATGAAGGCTGCGATGCGATTTCATAGAAAAGGTATTGTTATGTTGATTATTATTATTATTATTATTATTATTATTATTATTATTATTATTATATTTATTATTATTATTATTATTAATTGTAATTTATAATTGATATTCGAGAGTATTCCACATCAGCAATAGATGATGAGGAACGTAGCGGATCGTTTGAAGATGACGTTTTCAACAGAGACATATCGACGGGGGGTGCGCAGCGCTCGAAACGAAGACGTTCGTCGAGTATTGAAGTAATCTTTTGGTGTTGGTTTGCTTTTGTATTTGTTACTGTATTTGTTACGGTATTTGTTACGGTAGCGTTA